CTATGCAAGCACAAGAAAAGAAAATAAGGAAGCTTCTGTATCTGTGATGTAGGCAACAGTTCTTCACCTATGTGCTCTTCCCCTTTGTAGAGTCATTTCATTGATCAACTTGAAAAAAAGGCTAGAACAGAACAGGCTTTTATCTAAACTATGAGCTACACTTCATAATACATATGAACTACATATATACACAGAATGTGTAAATCTGCTACAGTTCTCTTTTTGTAAATTAGTACGTATGAGAGGTGCTTATCTGTGAATTTTATTATGAAAGAGATGTAAGGAATGTATAAATGCCAGCTGAGATGGACACACACTGCCTAAATCTAATGGTAATTTTATTTCACATTAATTTTTGTTTCTTAATTTACTTAGTTTACTCTAGCAGTGTATGATAGAGTAGCAGGGACCAATGCATTCCATAAAGGGGTGTTTTGGCCATTCTGAAAAGTAGAGTACCAAAAGAGAGGCCACCCATGTAATGAAGACCCCAGGCAGCATCAGAGGAAAATGCTGAGGTAGAATTAATGTACCATTTGCTGTCTGGGAAAGGGAAAATCACAGGATACTACTCCTGTTCTTTTTAAGACTGTGTCAGGTGCCTTGTTGTGAAGTAGATGTGGCAGGGTGACTCAAGGATCTCCTTTCAAGCCAATCAGGATAAGTTTGGGAAGAGAGAGCAGCATCTAATTTGCTGCCTTCCTAATAAAAAGATGTGAAAGAGAAGAGCAATTGTCTGCTGGGCTGACAGAGGAACAGGCAAGAGAACTCTACAGGTGCACAGGAGTGTAGAAAAAACGTCATGTTCACACTGTTGCCTGACAGCAGAAACAAGGGTATTGGACCGAAGATTTTGTAGTGGACAAGGTTGAATGGAAACATTTTAAAAGTCAGCTAGATAAGCCCACTCAAGGCTACAGCCTGCTTCATGATCTGTGATGCAAATAGACACTTTGCTTCACTATTCGTTTGGATTAGAATAGCAGGGTTGAACTGAGTTTGAAGTCTGTTTTGTTTCAGGCCCCTTAGTGTTATGTTATTTTAAAATTTATTTCTCAGCTTTCTTCTTATAACATTTACAACTACTAGATTTATGATTTGAATATGGAGGGAAAGAATCATACTATTTTTCCCAGTGTTAGATTAGACAGCATGCTAATCAGTAAGTTTCACCGACAGGCTGTTTCCTGAAATTGCTGGGGTTCTGTGCTGATCTAGGAATCTAATCTCACCTGAAGATTAAAGCCTAAACAAATCAGTAACAGTAAGCGTAGAAACAAGAATACTTCTTTATTTGCACAGTGATCATTGAATAGTATGTTGGTACCAGGATGACACTGGATAAAAGGGACATTTAAGATACCTCTGAGGATTTGGATGAAACAATAACAGGACATTCGGTTAAAATACTCATGCTTTTCTGCCATCTCTCCAACATCTTTCTACTTTTGGCAGTATATCATTTGTAATGATTTGTCAGTTTCCCCTTTTCTGATGTCTCAGATATCTCTGACTGAAGTATGTAAATTAAAATAAAAACAGATGCAGAACAGTCATAAAGAATAGAGGGAAAGCAAAATTACAAGTAGCTGCAAAGGTTTTGCATGTTACTGTCTTGTAAATGGAGCTTACTAGAACTGGAGGGATGGGAAGTATGGGAATTCCGTTAACTGCTTCAGTTTAGTCAACCATTGTAACATAACGCATTACTACTTTGTTTTGCCAGTGCTGCTCTATAGGTGGAATCTTCTGACTTTCTGAGTACAACCAGATGGAGGTCTTTGCTCATACTCACCCATTGCAGGAAGCCTTCCTAAGTTTCACATTTACCATCCTGTTTCATGCAGAATCTAATCATTGGAAGCAGAATAAAATCTGAAATTTTACACAATTTACACAAAATTTTGTGAGTACTGTATGAAAAAATAGGTAGTATTTCTGCTTTGGTTTTGCCAGTAATATTCACTAATTCATATTTTTAAATATACTATCTTGCATGAAATTATACTGCTCTGTGGGGAATACACTCTTGACAGAAATATGGTGTTATTATTCAGCTCACAACACTTAAAAATATGACTATAACTAGTGCGCAAACAGTAACAGTGGTAGTATTTTTATGTGTCCATATAGTGAGTTTTGTTTCTTAAAATATATTATGACACTCCTAATGTATTTCATCTTGAAATCTCAAACTATTATTACTTGTATTACATCCAGTCACGTAACAATCCTAAAGCATTATTAGTTCCCAATGATGTGAAGTCAACTGCTTATATAAACAGCCTGTTATATATTGTACAAAGAAAACAACATCCTAAGAGTTGTTTCTGATGGAGTACAAGACATTAAAATGCTGCTAGATGATATCCCAGCTTGGGTTTAAAGAATTAATGAAGAACAAATGTTCTAACTGACATGTAAGCATGAAATTCTCTCTGTGGGTTGACCTTCATTCTTCTGCAGTTAGTTAATGAGGATTTTCTTTGTTATCTTTCTTGCTGAAGAACCTCAGGGCCTTGTATCATTATTGAATGAACACAATGTCACCTCAGCTGGCAGAAATGTTTTGTCTTTTGTCACGAAAAGAAGTTTCCTCATGTCAGCTGGTGAAAGCACAACACAGAAACAAGCAATTGAGACCAGACATTTCAATTCAGCTAAGTTAGCCCAGTGGAGATGTTTAACCTGCTGCAGTTGTTCTGATCAGAATATTTAGGCTTCATTACTGTATGATTCTTGCACCTTCTTCTGAAGTTTGCAAGCATTGTTACAAATTAATGATAAACAAAAGCATTTTATCTGGAGAACTGCTCACAATATTCCCCTTTTAACAATTATTTACCATTTGTTGCAGAACAGTATGTGTTGTTTTTTGTTGTTGTTGTTGTTTTTTAAAGAAAAAGCAGCTTAACAGCTGCTTTTCATCTGATTCAAAACAACAAGTAACTATCAGTGGATCTTGTAAGGTGGGGATCACAGAATCACAGAATTGAAGGGGTTGGAAGGGACCTCGAAGGTCCACCTCCCCCGCCAAAAGCAGGTTTCTTAGAGCAGGCTGCCCAGGTAGGCGTCCAGACGGGCCTTGAATATCTCCAGAGAAGGAGGCTCCACAACCTCCCTGTGCAGCCTGCTCCAGTGCTCCGTCACCCTCACTGTGATGGAATCACATCTGCTCAGTGTACCGGAGCTGTTACTTTGAGCTTTCCTGTGTGCTCTATCATATTAAGCAGAGCTATATAGTGGGTGGAATGACGATTGCAAGTTTCGCCCAATGTGAGCCTATTAATTGGGGTTTCCCCCAAATACTCACACAGTTTCTCCATTACTCAGTATACCCATGTTCATCCTACGTGGCAGAAAAGACAAAGAAAAATAAAATAGAGTGAACCTTCTGTTCACTTCACAAACAACATGTCTGTACTTAAAAATGGCACAGGGAAAGGGAAAGAAGACATTAGTTAAAAACAGTGTAAGAAAATTTTATTCATGAATTTTTCATCTAGGTTTATTACATGCAAGATAGCTGCTGTGGGACCTGATCATTGACACAGCGAGGATCTCTGAAAGAAGTACCAGATGTACAGATAGCAAGATGTTACTGTGAAGAAGAATATCCCATTATAGTCCACATCATAAGGTAATGAGCAACAGCAAATGAAATCTGAAATTATTTGATGCTTTCAGAGGTTTTGGCATGTTGCACTTTGCCTTATAGCCACTTCCCCTTTTTTTGAGGTAAGAATACTTGCCCCAGAATTAGAAAAACAAATTACCTTGAATCTCATTTGTTATTAATGTATAGTGGAAGGGAAGGGCATTTGTGAGGGTTTGTTATCCCAGTATTCAGCTTATCCTCAATTCTGTAAATGGCATTTTTGAGTTGACAGGCACATATGTTTTGTTAAAGTCATTAAAATAATGTTGTATTAAATACTTATCTAACGTAAGTCAAGTACAACTGTGTTACCTTCTGGTTATTAGGATACATATGTCTAATATACATTCATTTTGGAGTCCCTTAGGGGACAGCCTTGTTATTAATACAGCAGAGAACAGCTGAATGAGCATATGGTTTATTAAGACATGCTTATATTAATTATATGTGGATACTATTCAAAAGGGTCACTGGTCTATAACTGAAGGACCATAGTGATCACTACTTTGAACCTCAGAGCTCAATGGGATTACTCTTGATCTGATCTGTTTGTCTTTGACTGGAAAAAATCATTAGATTTGTGTCTTATGTTGAAAATTAATGAAACACTTAAGAGTTGACTGCCATAAAAAAACAATTAATTAATATGCAAAATTGAATGAAATTTTGAAGGCATCATGAAGTTGCACGTCAGAAGGTCTAGAGCTCACGTGTCTGTACAATTTGTTATGCAGCAATCTGAACCATGATGAGACCTAACATACATAATAAAGCAGAATACTAATTGCAGTTCAAAATTTAAAAAACATTAAAGTCATGTCTGCATAGCTTCCAATCGTCATATTGCTCAACTGATTTGTTTATTGAATATAGCAATTCCCCCTCTGTTGCTTAACACCAGTTAACACTTAAAATGATCTTTTATGTTTAAAGCTGTTTTTCATTCCAGGAGCTGATGCAGTACACACGGTGTCCTGCAATGCACCATTTCAACTTTCAGTGGAGTGGCAGGCAGAAGACTGTATGAGCCTGAAAATAAAATTTATATGGATTTAAGCTTTGAGAAGACCCAGTGCAGGAGAAGCTCAGGACTGTTCAGTTTTATATTTCTTCCTCTAATTTTAAAGCCCTGATTCCAGAAAAGGTGCAGTCAATGTCTAAAACCTAAAATCACACAAGCCATGTTTGCATTACTCAACTTATGACAAGTTTAGCGTTTCTGTGATACTGCAGAAACAGAAAAGCTGCATTTTGCCTTTTCTGTTACTTGGCTCCTTAGTTTGTGGCTGTTTTTTTGCACAGTATACATCTTCAGAAAGAAAAAAAAAAAAAAAAAAAAAAAAAAAAAAGCACTGTGAGAAAAGAGTTTTTCATTAATATTTTGAACTGTGAATACAAAAAGAATGACATACTGGATACTTTATTGTGTTAGCAGAATCTGAAAATCTAAAAATATGAGTTAGGCCCTAGAACTCTGAAAGTAAAACAGTACTGTAAATACAGTCACTTAATATTTTTTTCTACAGTTCATTTTTATTTACATTTGAAGAAAACTCAGGTGTACTTCTTCTCAGTATTTGTTCAAAAACGTTAGGGGAGGATCTGTTCATAAGCTCCATTTGAAGCCCTACACTCATCATGTAGTCAGTCATGTGGCATTAAAGCATGAATATAAACTCTGCTGTGAGATATGTCAGAACAAAAGTATTTACAAATGTACAGAAGTAAAAACGATGTAAATACTTCTGTATTTCTGTTTCAGCTAAAAATCTTCCTGGAATGTTCAGTGCCTGCATGGCAGGTAGTCAGGAAGGCAGCATGGCCCTGGGGTTTTCTGCTGGGAGCAATGCCCTTTGTGCTACTTCCCAAGGCCTCCATTTCGCAGCTGTAAACAGAGATGGCACAGACCCTCTGTATATGTTTTGAACCTAACATAAAGAACTATGGGCTTTTGACTTGAAGGGTTTCATAGTTATCAAAAAAACACTGAAGCATTTTAAATCTCTCCAATCTCTTTTGAGAAGTATTTTCAGGAAATCTAAACCCTAAAGCAACAATGAAACATAATTCCAATTTACAAATACATAGTTCTTCTCAAAAGTGGTCAAGTTCACCTATAAGTTTATACACAAAACAGAAATCTGCAATAGTGTTTTATTGTACTATTTCAGAGATGACAAGAAAAACTAAAACAACTCTTCTTTTGGCTGGGAAACAAACAAGCCGCAGGTGTCTGAGGGGAGGGACAACAAGCAGTGTTTTATTAGTGTGAAACAGCAGGTGCTCAGAGTTAAGCTGTACAGTTCTTTATATAACTGTTTGGTAGCAAATCAACAAATGTGTTTTTATCTTCAGGTGATAAAAGATCAAGCCTGGGTCACTTTTATCACTCTTCTCAAAACATGAGGGTAATAGCAAGAGGGCAGGCCTGGCTCTTGGGTCCTAGCTATGGCTGCTGCCCCTTAGTTTGGTGCTGGGGCCAGCCCTGGCCTGTGTTGTGCCTCTCCTTGCTCCAGGCCTGGTCTCTCCTGGGCTCTTCAGAGCTGTGGCTTGTATCTGAAATGCTTCTTCACTGGTAAGATATCTGTTTGAGAAGGACATCAACTGAAATGTTGGCTTGGCTTTGCTGATCTGGGTAGATAATGCACTTCCTGGGTTAACATGAGGCTGTTTGGGGCCTGAGTGGGGGAGGGAGGTTACTGAACCTCACAGCACAAGCATGTCGCTGTGGCATCAGCAGTGTTTAAGAGACATCAAGATTGAAATGGTAAGTTTAAATGTGTCTTCAGTATTGTCTGGCTTATTTGTGGGAATGATTAATAGCAGAAAAAAATATGTTGGGGGCTGATAAGTACAGAAGGAGCAAATCACAGAAGAGAGAGGACATTCTCCTTGCAGCCAAATAGAAATCCCCCCAAACCCAGAGAAAATGCTGTGGTGACCCCAGTGTGCTCATCCACACTGCTGTAGGTTGGAACTGCTCTGCCAGCCCTAGGCAGGCACTGTTTTCTCCTCTGGGCTCCTTTTCTTTCCTGAAACTGGGTGCTGAGAGGGTGGTAGTGACCCTCAGGCCTGGCTACTCAACACAGCCTGTAAGGTGCTGTGCTTCAAGTCTTTGTTCTTGTGTAGTCTAAGTGATCAGCTTACATACAGCTCTTTTCCTTTATTTTATTTTATTTTTTTTTTTTTAACCTTTAAAACCAGAGAAGCATTTTACAGTGAGGATAGTCTTTAGAACTACGAAGAAGCTGTAGTAGTTATAAAGACATGTTTTCTACAGTTTCCTATTTTTAGCACGTAGTTTCTTAAAACTAAACTTAGCAGCTGATCTAATTTATTTATTTGATTCTTTTAGTAATAGAACATTAATACATCAAAGATTAAGGAAAATATGGTAAAGTATTTTCTGGTCTTACAAAGTATTCCTCTGATTTTAATAATTCCCTTTTAGGGGAGGAACTAAAGGTGTTCTATTTCTATATGTATTTGTGATATAGATCTGTGTGAACTTCCTTGATGTGTCCAATTCTTTCATCCGCTACTTGTAAGCAACAAACAGACGCAATGATGGAGGGTGTTTATAACTCGCATGGTCAGAGACAATAGTTCATTGCTGGTATTAAGAGAATCTCTTTTTTCCCCTCAATGCAGCAGATAAAGCAGCTGCTTTTGTGGGGATAACCACAGCCAGAATGCAGTTTGTCCCATTTGAAATGGAGCTGTGGGTAAGAATAGGTTCCTTCCCTCAGGCTGCTATGGGATGACTTAAGGTTTGCCTGTATGAAAACACATCTCTTGCTTTGAATGGTGTAGGGCAGAGGAAGGTGGTAATGATAACCCTCTAAAATTCCTATGCAAGTGTGATTTCTCACATAGCCTGTGGAAGTGTAAGATATAATCATCAAAAGCTTTATGTCAGTAGGATCCTTGAGATCCTTGGTAGGGAATTTTTTAAAAGGAAAATTTATTAAGTTTTTATCCCTTTCAAGCTAAGCTTTTAGTGATGTTGACTGTAATAGTTTTGGGTATAAAATAAGGGAATTGTTCAGAAAAGCAGAAGTCATAAACTGCTTCTGGTGAGCCAGAATGGTTCTTTATTTGGTAAAGTGTAGTCAAGAGAAAATATGGAGACCTGGTTTATTCAGTTCAAGGAGGCATCTGTTAGTTTTACTGGAAGATGCAAACAGATTTGAAGAATGTTTGGCCATTAAGACTGAATACATATCTCAAACTTCAGATTTGGAACTCTTGGGCTTCTATTTGTGACGTTTTTTCCTAAACTAATTAGTAAACACTGCTGGTGTTTTGACATATATTAAGCATCCTGGAGGTTGGAAAACAAAGCTTCAAGATGATGCTGTGGTTGGCAAAGAACTGAAATATTCTGACACTTTTAATCTGAAAATACTTGAAATGTAACAAGCTGAGTATTTGAAAATTGACACAGTTCCACAAAGTTTTAATAGCAAAAGAGCCAGGTGTTGTACTTTAATCACACTAGAAGTAGCAGCTGATGCATAGTGCAACAGCAATAATTTGGAGCTAGAAGCTTACAAATAATCTAGCTACAAATTATATTGTCAAGGGAATCCAAATACTTTGTAATATATTCTAATACATATTAATTTCAGAGCCCTATAGGGGACAGTCTTGTTATTAATACACAGAGGAACAGATGTGATAGCATATGGTTTACCAACTTGTATTTATGTTAATTCTATGTAAATAGGATTTTAATAAGGTAACATTAGTCTATAGCTTCAGTTTCATAACATCTTTATTCTTAAAAGATGATAATGGGATCATCTAAACAGGGGTCTGGGATCATCAAAAAGGTTAGTTGAAAGAGTTTCTTTTAAGTAAGATGTTTAAGTGGGTAAAACTTTTGAACCTTTTTTATCACCTCAAAAACAAAACAACTTAGAGCTTCAGTGGCAACACTAAATTGGAATTATTTTATTTACTAACACTTCTTTAAAAACAAACAAAAACCCAACTGCCTGACATCTACTTTTGATGATCTTAAATTCTCATCTATTCTATGTTGATTGTTTGCAAGTTCAACTTCCATGTAGCTGCCTTGGAAAAGCTTGCAAAAGTTCAGAGCATCCTAGAAAATTTCCAGTAGTGCCTTAGCTCTGATGTCTATTGAGATTGCTATGCAACCCACCTACTGTCCTCAGTTGGAAAAGCTGTGAGTGCAGTTGTGAGTCGGTTTGGGCTTCTCAGAAGCTTTTGCCAGGGCAAATTTTTTAAATTGTCCTCCCAGGTGCTGCTAGGAGCCATTGCATCACAGTCTCTGATGAGAACAGAGTAAGCATTCCTGCAAGCAGATAATGAAATTCAAGTGCTCATCAGCTCTGTTGCTTCAAAGAACTTTGGAAAACTTTGTATGCTATTAGGAATTCCTCTCCTAAACATTTGAATCAAACTTCCAAAGTACACTAGTTCACTTCAACAGTATTTTCTTTGTGATCACTGAAATTTTCTTCCTACCAGCTTCACTAGCCTTAAGGTTACATTACGTGTAACTTTTTATTAATAATTGAAGAGCTGTGCATAGATGTACAATTTAGTTCTCTCCTGTAGTTAAAAACATGGCTTTTTCTTTCAAGGAAAGATATGTAAATTTTTTTTTAAAGAATTTCTAATGTACAGAGCTGTAGGTTTTCTTTTTCTTTGTTTTGTTTGGGGTAGATGGAGAGTGTCTAAACAAAACTTTCATAAGCTCAAATAAAAATAAAATTTATAAAGGAGTATAGCGAAACTTTTTATAGGTATGTCAGAAATAGTTCAATCTTCAAGTTTAATCTTCATTTTATTTCTTCCAAGAGAATTAAGGAATTTGATTATAATACCCTGTATCAGTTGTCCGCTTATGTTTTAAGTGAACCAATAGTAGGGTTTTGAATTGTAGCTGTTGGGAAAAACACTGATAGAAACAAACCTTTACTGGATATGCTGTTGAGAACTTAGAATAGTTCTCCCTTTCTGTTCTCTTCCTCCCTAAGAATTGCGTGTATTGTAGCACTCAGAAATTGACTCCCCCACCAGGTTTAAGTTCTGTGTTGGGTTACTGGAGATGCTGTACAAGTGCTATGCTTCTGGCCATCTCTCCTGACTCGACATGCAGCAAGACCATGTGGAACTTCCAATGAAGGGGGGTGGGTGCTGCCTTGATTGGAGTGGTTAGCTGTGTGCCTGCAGCAGATGTGTGCATTCCTGACTGTGCTAGTTGCTTTCTAGCTTAGGAAAAACTTTGCCTGGTAAAGATCAGTTCATCATGCTGGAGGACTCTTGTCTTGCATTGGAATTTTCATTGACTGCTCTGGGGCTTTGAAATGGTGCTAATAGGATTTGTGGTGTCTTGCATATGTATATGCTACTTTTGGTCACAGAGATGGCAGATGCACAAGCCTTGGTTGCATTGTATGCTTTTGTTACTTAGTACAAGTGTTTCTAAAGCAAATGGCCTTTTGGCAACTGTAGAAGGCCTTACACAAAGCCAAATTCAGTTCCATTCAATCTATTCATTAATGTCTTTACCACGTAATGTTGATTGTTCTAATGGTTCACTTTATTTTTTTAAAGCTCTGCTACTATGATCTTGTAAGCAGTAGCACATAGTAATCTGTGTGAGAATGTTTGGAAACAGCAATTAAGCATTTGGATAACAGATTATGGATACAGCACTTTAGGGAGACAATTAAAATATTTTGATTTTTATTCCCTCGTTAAATACTTCTCACACTGTTTCAGCTGAAACAAAACAATCCCCAGATTTGTATTATTTTGCTTTGTCTGCTTTGATAATAAACTATGTATCAAGTGGCCAGTAAGCAGCATTTCCTCTCTTCCTGTGAGCTATGTCTTTTGCTCACAGTGAGAAACACTGGAGATTCATAATCCACCCAAAGCGAAACGACAGGTTGTGTCATCATCGGCAGAGGGATATCAGATCCTATATCTTTACCTGACAAGAGGTGGCAATTTAATCTGACAAGCTTTCTGCCAATGAGGACAGCTTTAGGAGTTCAACTGCCTTGGCAAAGATTTGACATGTCATTGAGGGATGTTGTGCAGAAGCTTGACAATAAACTGGAACTTTCAATGCATTTTAGGATTGCTGTAAGAATTTATTAGAAATCACTCAAATTATTTTATTCCTCCAGAAATGTGTTTTCTCTGCTGATATGTGATGTTTAATGTGTAGTGCACTGTTTAAAAACTTGTTTTCTGATGTTGTAGAACAAATCTATTATAATGCACATGAAATGTCAAGGAATTCAATTAAATGCATGTAAAATAAACTGTGTCCACTTGTCTGATTTGACAATGCTTTGCTTCATGTTATTGCTTTCTTCAGAGCATTTGGAGATGTATATTATTAATGTAGGATCAGTGTGGTGCTGTAAATTTAATTATAGAAGTAGATGAGCTCTTGGATATTTCCAAGCATGGAGCGAACATCTATGCTCTCTCCTCTTGGAGCAAAGAGCAGCCTTCTGGAGTTAAAGGAGTCTGGAGCAGAGCTTGCAGCCTGCTTGTTGGCAAGGCTGTTTTTTGCAGTGTCCTTAACTCTGCCACCATCTAAACACAAAGTTTGGAGTTGCTTTCCTTAAAAAAAGAAGTTTTGATATCAAGTCAAATCAAAAACTATCTAGTATGAAGCTGATGTTTTCAAGCTTGGTCTGGACACTTCTTTGAGGTGTTGGGATTGGGGTGTTTATAATCCTAAATGATACACCAGCCCTGATAACAATGCATCACTCTGGGATGTGTTGACAAATGCTACCTGGAAAGCTATTAGTTATGATCGCATGGAATTTATGGAGTGAACTTAAGATTGAGAGAGATGTGTAAGAAGACTGAAGGATCTGCTAGAGTGTGTTTTCAACAAGTGTTCTAGGACATGATATATTAGAGCCTTTTTGAATTATTTCCCTGTTAGCTCTTGATAATCCTTGCAGAAAGATACTTAATATACCTATCTTTTCTAATGCAGATGTCTTAATTTCTAAGTAGATAGTTTTCTGTTAACATGAAATCTCAAATTACTGTGCTGTAGCTTGAAAATATCCCTGATCACTAATGAAAGTTATCATACTTATTGCCACATGCGTTGTGAATCTAGCTGAGGTAGATGTCTTGGCCCAACTGTCCGTAATAGTGCTTGGAGAGGTTTTTGTCAATATTAACATGGGTCACAATGCCACCATTCCAAGTGTTGCTTCTAATGACTACTTTTAGTTGAAAGGCAAGTGAGTTAAAAGACAGCTTCTGTTCCAGTGTACAGTAAAACTTGGTGCATGTGAAGTCCAGGAAAATCCAATGGTGGTGTGAAGCTGGTGTAGTCTGTTCTATTACATCCCTTTTATTCTGGTAGTACAGAGAATGAACTGACCTTGCCAGCTAATAAAAAGCTGAAGACACCTCCAGAGAGTCTTTACAATGAGTTTCAAATGCATTACAGCTAATTAGAAAACTGAGGTCAATCAGGGTGTTACTGGTGGCCAAAGCAAGTCTGGTAGAGTCAGAGTGAGCTGTGCTCAGGCTGAACCTCCTTTTTTCAAAGTAGTTATTTTTTATTTTTATTTCCTGTCTTTGCTCCTACTGCAGGCTGTGCATAGCTGCCAATTTATTGCTAATTATTCACTTAACCTCTCCTTTTGGCATATTTCTGGCATGTGGTGACATCACTATTCTAATAATATTTTAATTAAGTGTACTTCATGGCCATTAAAAGCATTTTCAAGCAGCTGGGATATCACTGGGTAAAGAGGCTTGAAGAGGAATCCAGTTGCATAGGGTACTTACTACTTGTAATGACAACCCCCTTCAATATCATAACATTGCTTGAACAGTGAGTAATATCTGTGAAGTGATAACAGATCCAAGGTAGTTTAGGGGACTTGGGATGTACTTAACTTTATGACAGGCCTAATATCTTTTTTTCCCTCTCAACTCTTAGGGTAGTTGCCATGTCATAACGTAGAGAGCAATTGAACTGCAGAGAGGGAGCTCTGTCCAAAGCCAAGCCATGCTAGATGGGATTCCTGTTTAGACAATGAGCAAGAACATCCTGTGGTAGGTGTAGTATTGTTAGAGCATTCTCTTAATAGAGCACAGAACAGAAGTGTCACTATATCATACTGTTTTGTCCAACTCACTATTGTAAAAATGCATATATTACAATAAAGCTATAGACTACAGGGTTTTTGATAAGTCCAAAGGGTATTTCGAACAAATTGGTGGGAGGCAGGTAAGAGTAACTTGGGTTTAGTGTAACAAAAATGAAGTGGGCTTCTCAGAGACCAGTCTCACTGTTCTGGCTGTGTTTTCACGTGCCTGGTTCTGCCTGCAGAGCTCCCCAGTGGCTCCCAGCCTGCAGTCATCCCCCTACTAGAGGGGGTTGGTGAGCTGTGGCATGTGAGAGCTGGTTATCCAGAGAGCTACTCTGGGAAGTGCATTGTTCAAGCTGTCTTATCCACCTTTTTGCTCTTTATTTGTTTCTCTCCCCTGCTGCTTCAGGGGGATCAGCTGCATGTTGCCAATTAGGCTCATCAGCATTGTCAATAACAGATGTGGAGCTCCTGGTAATCCCCCACCCTTGTTAGTGGGCTGCGAGGGCTTCTGGCTGTTTGTGATGAGATTTAACCCTTATCCCCCTACAGGGAGCCAAGCCACTCTGTCAAAGACCAGGAGTAAGGTTTTGTGTGTTCCGTGTTTTAAGGGTTCTTTTATCTCCATCGTAGCCCCAGTAGGTTTGATTAGGCTCTGTTTTTATCTATGGGTTTCAGCTTGTGGGGAAATGTAATTAATTTCAACACAGATCAATGTGAAAAGGATATTTTAAGAACTCAGCTTCAAGCTAAAAGTAGTAGCACAAAGTTTCATTACCTGTCAAGCAGATTACTTGGGTATGTCTTGAAAAGCAAGCTGCAAGCAAAGCTTTTGTGTTACCAGCCTGCATGCCATCACAGGACAAACCTGTAAACATCTTCATTAGAAGACAGGATGCTCAAAGACTCAGCTCTTGCCCTCATACTGTCATCTTTGCTGAGGGCTGCCCCTCAATGCCTGCTCCTTGTTGATTGCAATAGGAGGCGCCTTCAGTGCTTGTGCTGTGGTTGCTTCCCTCCTCCCAAGGGAGAGATGCAGGTCAGGGGGCATGCAACACCTCCTGACTTTGGCAGCCAAGTGGAAATCAAAGCAGTCCAGATCGGATTGTTTTCTTTTCCTGTGAAAATCTGTCCTGCAGGGTATGCCTCTTCTTGAGTACTATTAAGTATGAATACTTCGTGGCATCTCATTATGAGGGGAGGGAGAAGGAATAGTCTGAATGTTCTGCAGAGTCTGAATTGAGTAAGGAGGGGTTGAATAAAGAATCTGCATATGTGTTCTGGCCATTAACTGGGAGGAGAGGGGGGAAATCTCAGCACATTTCTCCTCTAGTTGAGGAGTAAAATTGGAGGCGTGCAGCAATATCAAGTCCGAATTATTGTAATTTAAGACTAATGGTCTTAAAATGGATGTTTAGAGTCTGAAGTTAAGAATTCTTAGGCAACCTCTACAGTATGAGAGACATTTAAGTATTTATGTACATAACACTATGGACCCTTGAAACTATAAAATAAACATGTAAAGAAAACCTCAACTGAGTTTTATGAGCCATTTGCCAGTCTCCAAACGTCAGTGACAGGGCGTAGTGCTAGTGAGCCTAGGTGCCAGGGGCAATATGCCAAGAGCACTGGAAAGCATAGCACAAAATGGAAATTTAAGTTATGCCTCTATCTTCCTTTTTTTTTTTTTAATTTAGAAAATAGTATAAGGAAGCTTCCAATACACATGTCAGGAATGGTTTCTCTATATGTAGAAAATTACATACTGCATCTGAAGCAAGTAAGAACACTTAATGATCTGAAATGAAGCATTGAATAATGGCCCTTAATACATTTAACTATTAGGGTTTTGTGGTTTGGGATCCTTGAAACTGAAGTTAGAATAAAACTAAGCACTCTGCTTTTTTATTGATCACTGCAGTAATTTCTTCAAAGCTGAGCAGAACACCCAAGTTTTAGTTCCACTCAAAATTGTAGTAAGCATTTAAGTATCAATAACAGATGTGCTTCACAACATCATGGCTGATGGATTATTGATTCATAATGAAGTTTTAATCTTTTGCATATTGAGTAAATTATGAAGCTATTAAATTGATATCACTGCATTTCATCTCATTTGTCATTAGCGAGTTACAAATTATTTAACTTGAATGCTTTGTCAGCAAAGCTTTGAAATTAACATGTACAATGACTTTTTAAAATGAGTTATGAATCACTTAAGAGTCACTGTCAATTGGCACGTGCTTAGTAGATCAAGTTTAAATGCCAACTGTGAGGAGGCTCTAGGTCTGCAGTAGGTAACGTGAATAACTCAGTTGGGCGATATTCTTTGTAACTATGGGTTCATTCTCCATGATGCTTTTTCCATGTTTGTTGTCATACATGTTAGCCCATTGGGACATGCAGTGGACAAGCATTTCTGGTGTGCAAGTAGCTGATCACTGAACAGACACTTCCTTGCTCTCCCCAGGTGCAAAGAGGGAGAGAATTGGAGAGGTAAAAGTAGCAGAGCTCGCAGATTGAGATCCAGACAGTTTACTAAAGCAAAAGAAATACATGCGAGCCCAGCAAACCAAGGAATCCATTCACTGTCCCACTGTCAGGCAGGTGTTCAGCTGCTCCCAGGAAAGCAGGGTTCAGCACATGGAACGGCTGCTTGGCAAGACACACAGTCACTCTGAATGTGCCCTATCCTTTACCCCAGCTGTTGCTGCCAGCACAGCACCACATGGTTCAGAATGTCCCTGAGGCCACCATGGGCCAGCTGTCCTGGTCCTGTCCCTTCCCTGTTCTGGAGCACCCCTGGCCTCCTCACTGGCAGGGCAGCATGAGGAGCTGCAATGGCCTCAGCTCTGGGGGACACTGCGACAACCAATACATCAGTGTGCTACCAACACAATTTTCATCAAAAGTCAAAAGCATCATACAAGCCTCTGTAAAGAAAACTAACTCTGTCCCAGCCAAAGCTATAACAGTTTTACAGAAAAAATGTACACTGGGGTGGGTGGGCAGGTGTGTAAGCCCTATTGTGTAAGGGGGAAGCACAGAAGATTTTCTTAAAGCTATTAATTCCACTTTTTCATATTAATTTATGTGGGTTCTTCAGATAAAGCTATTATATTCCAGAATTATACCCTGGCTTTATTTAGGATTAAATCACAGTTGTTGCCTAGCCCTATATGTTTTCTATTTTCTTTTTTATATATGGAAACTGTGTTTTCGCTTATTCTGCTACCAGTTCCTGATTTTTATATCTTTGTGTTTCCCATGGCAACAGATTTCTCTGTGACTGAGCAAGTATCATGTTCCTGCTTTGGATGTTAGCAGTGTCACTGTTCTAAGGTATGAATACAGAGCTTCAGTCAAAGAAGTGGTGAAAGACATAGAAGGAATTCATTCTCTGATCCTTAATGATATTAAAAAAGAAAAAGGAGATTAAATTGATATGATTTATTATCCATATACAGCATGTAAATGTAGCAGGCTCAGGTAAGGCTTTACATAAAAGCAGTTTGCTTATTAGAGCTCTTGTGAAAATTTGAGCCAATAACAACTTGGCTATTTTCTGTTTGCTTTCATGCTTAGCTTGAAGTTACTTCCCTAACACTTGGAAGAAATTTTATGGTATTAACTACATGATATAGAACATCATTCTTTTATTTTCCTAGAAATATCTGGCTTCATTTTGATATTTTTAGGTGACTTCTGTGGAAGGCTGCCCTTTTCTCAGTTTATTCCCTTGTGATAAAAGTGTAGGTATGTCCACTAATTTCCACCTCGTCCCATAAGAGATACATCCCCAAATGTGAGTACACAGTGCTGAAGAGGGCTTTCTTCCAAAAGACATGCTGAAGAAAATGTCCTGTAGTGATTAATTCATCCTTACTTTTCCTAGTTTTTCTTTATGTATAATCCCTCAGGCAGCAAGGGTTAGAAGTTACTGTCTGCTGCAACTTGAAGCATCCGAACAAGTGGCTGCTAGGGCTGGAACAAATGTCTGTCTCCTAATTAGCAGGCAGTCAGAAGCCACAAAACACAAATGCAGAGCTTGACATCCATGGATTTCTGCCTTGATAGAAACATCTATGTCTATGAATGCCTTATCACTGTGATAACTGAGTTCTGAAACATTGGGTTGTGGATAATAATTTGACTATGCTATAGACAACTGTTTGAGTCAAATTCTACTTCAGTTACTCAAAGTGGTGTGATCTGCCAAGCTGGTCTGTCTTCGGTAAGCCATAGGTGCAATTTCTTTACTCTGTTCAAGGAAATGAAGGTAGGTAATGTCAAGTTTAAAAATAAAGAAATAAAAACTTGCGTTTATTTTTATGCTTAGTAGAAAAAATTATAGCAGCTCTAATGAAGAGCCAGAACCACATATTAAATCCCTATACAGTACTCTATGACAGTGGTTGACTGGGTTGTGTTTTGAGAACAGCCAATCTTTTGCAGTTTTGCAGCCCTGAACATTGTAAGGATTTTACAACTTGACCATTGAGCCACTTTTTTTATCTTGTAATATCTTCTCCTGCCATTCTTACCTAGCATATTTGTGTTGAAAACACCATTTTATAGCAGTGCTTTATTCCAAAAATGTGAACTTGTTCTTTGTGTCATTTTACCTTATTCTGTCACTTGTAATGTAGAAATTGGAAATCAATGATTTTGACTACACATGCTTAAGTTCCAGGATATTTCCCAGTTTTTATGTGAATGTACTGTATTTCTCTGATAAGTAACATCCAAATCCATTTGTTTAACACTTTTTGAACAGTTTAGTGTTATTTTTTCCTCCCACCTGCAACTGTGCAGAAACCTATGCCATCTTTAAGCTCTGACATGTTATAGAGATCATATAATTTCAGTAGATTTAGTTAAGCAGGATCAATATTGTTTAAATAATTGTTTTTAACTTAGCCCTTTTGGAAGAAATAAGCTACACTAATTCTTTGCTAATCCTGTTAAATCATTAAATTGAAGAAGAAACTTTATAAAGCTTGGTAGATGGAAGTTAAACGAATTAAATATTTCTATGGTATGGTCACGGAGACATGGGTGTTTGGTATGCTTTTTTTGTTGTTCTTGGTAACCTAAATAGTATCACTTATGAATCGCACATCTTTGTGATGAACCTGATTTCTGTTAGAAATAAAGTTTAGTTTTAACTTCATATATCACTTTTCAGCCACTGGCTTCCCCAGGACTAACTGAATCTCTAACATACGCCTTCCTACGATAAAATAGAGCTCCAGAACTCAATATTCAAGTTTTTTACTGAAATTACTAATGTGTTGAATTTTTCTATAGAGAATCTATCTAACATAGACTGTTTTGGAGCAACTGTGTCATGCTGACTTGTTACTTGGGCTTACTGTCTGTTTCACACTTCTTGCATAGATTAAAGACATAATTCAGCTATCTCAATCTATGCATCTAAGTTTGTTTCTGTAAGCATGTAGAGTGATTGTGCAATTTTCAGAGGCTTTCAATGTCCACACAAACTGTTAATATGTAATACAATGTGAATGGAAAATATGAAATGTTCAAAAGTAACTCTAAAAAGCCATACCTGCTAATGTGGATGGACAGTAGTTGTGAAGTACTGTTTTCTGCATACACAGTGTGGATGATCATGTAACATCGATAAGATGAATTTCTGAAGTGGTCTGAAATGCAAACCTTTCCTCCAAGACTTAGTTAATGTAGTGTTTGTTCTTCTGCAGTAAACGGTGATTCAGGTAGGCTTATATACTAAGTCCATAAACAGACCCATCAGGAAGTATAACAACTGTCAGGCAGTAATCACAGCTTGTAGTTGTAGAGTGTTATTTTGCAAAAAAGGGGGGCTAGAAATGGATGTAACCAGCACTGGCCAGCTCTCGTGGTTGCCAAGCATTTATTAATAAAGGGACAAAAATGGTAGGGCTTCTGTTTATCTGGTTGTTATTGATATCTAATAGTAATAGCTATTGAGAGAAAAAAACCGAATATGGCACAACAGCCCACAGCAACTTTACTTTTAGATAATGTTGTGTGTGTTTGAGAAGGCATGATATTGATAATTCATTGCAATAAGGAAGATGAAAATCCTTGTTTTGGGGATTGTTTTTTATCTCACATGGAAGTCTCAGTATTCACCATCAAAAACCTTTTTGAGGATACTTGGTCTGCTGATCAGATACGTGCAAAATTGTGTGTTGGGGGACAGATAGCTCAAAGAGTAAAATTACGGTAACAGATGTCATTACTTTTTCTGTTCTTTAGTTTCTGATGCAACTTAAATTTGCATCCTTATGAAAACCCAAACCAGACACAACAAGAAAAAATGTTACACCACCACATAGTTTGAATTATTCTGGCATGAAATTTCATAGAACAGTTCTCAAACTTGCCTAGTTGTGGTAAGGGTGCTCAAAGTTTTGTTCATCTTTGAATTCCTCTCTGTCATGTTATTAAATAGAAACGAAACAAATATTTGCTGGTTTTGTGGTTAAGTAATCCTAAGAATGGAAGAAAAATCTATCCGCTTTCAATGGCAAATAGGGTAGGGAGATCTCATAGTTGGGCTTAGATTTCTTTTCCAGTAAACTCCTGCAGAACTAGACTGCTGTGTGGAGTCTGACTTCGTTTAATGATGATTAGTTGCTATGAGGAATTTTTCAGAAGCAGTGATACAAAACTTAATTTCGAGCGACTTGGTTACCTTTACCCGGGAGATGGATGCTTAATATTTTAGAGGTGTTTTTTTTTAAGGAATGTGTACAATTTTAAAGTTGAAGAATGTTGAGTTTTGCTTATGTAAAAGGATTTGGGCACATTAAAACTCCTTGGTCCTGTGTTTAAAAATTCAGCTTTTTATTACAGCCTTTGAACCACTACGTTTATTACAGATTTGAAACATCTTCTATTGCTGTCATACATTAAAAACCTAAGTGTGAAGACTTTAAACTTTTTAGTTCCCATTTTCCGGAAATGCATGTTTAAGCATGTTCAGCTATTTACAAAATCTAGAAGTTTCCATTTCAGTTTTTTCTTACATATACTTGAACACACCTTTCTTCACCTCTTAAATACAGAGAGCTTCTTTATCAAGCAGCAGCAAGTTTATACTGTTTTCCACCAGTCATTTTAGTGTTACCATAAAAATTGCTTTCCCCTTGTACCTATAAAAGTCATAATTTGCTGCAAGCTCAGTGGAGCTATTTGTAATATTATTTTAGGTTTAGTCTTTATCATGAGCCCGGTGGGCAGATTTAGTCAAGAAAATGAGACTGTGGGTTGAATGGAAATAGGCTTTGGGGGGTTGACTTTTTTTGAGGCTTTTACTAAAGAGGCAGAAGTTTTTGCTGTTGCATCTATTTCTGCTGTACTATACTTCCAAAGCAGTCAGGTTTAAAAAATCACATTTTGGTCTATCAACAAAATAACCCTCTTAAGAAGAAAATGAGTTAAAATAATTTACAAGCATCTTAGTCCTATGTATATTTGTTTATGTGCAGCTCTGTGATGACTTTGAGAGATTCATGAGGAATGCTCTGAGGTGACAGATGCAGGTCAACAAAATGCTCAGGCCTGGATAATTTACTTGAAGCTTAAACAACTCTAACAGAGCAACCAGAAATACAAACTGAGCTATTAAACCTGGCAAGCTAAAATTAATTTAGCACATTAAGCTACAATGAACTAGGCTTCACATTTAAATATCTAATATGTGGGCATTGTATTTACTGATTAGCTTTGTTTACCTGCTGTCTGGTATTTGTGGGCATCTGTCTTTGCTAATCTTAGGAGAATGTAATGTGAGAGGGCTTTATTTCTTTTATATATAGCATTTGCACCTTTTCCCTGATGGCATCAAAAGCTTTATGAAGCTTTTTTGTATCTGGCTCTCTGTTATGGATTAAGACCTATCCTAGTCATACTGCATGCTTTTTGTCACTGGTGAAAACCACCTAACTCTCCGTTGTGACTGAGTAAACCAACTTCAAGTTTTGGTGTTGATACCTATGAAATGATCAGGGTGGAGGGGTGAGAGGGAGCACAGCTCAGTTCCATTCAGAAATCAGAATAGCATTATAAGAATGTGTTTTGGAATATGTTTGGTATTGAACAGCTCAACTCCAAGCACTGAAAGGTGTGTTTGTGGTGGTGGTGGCTTGTGAGAGTGCAGTTCTGGAAATGGGGAGGGAGCTCATCCAGGATTCTTGCCTAATGCTGCTGTTTCTCTCAGGGGTGGGAGGAATAAAGGCTTCGATTCAACCTTCTGTTTGATGGTCATACTTTAAAAGAAAGGCAAGTGTCTATGACTTATGTGAACTGAGGCCTAGTTTGGTCATGTC